TTTCCTGTTCAAGTCCCCAGGTAAACTGAGTATCTTTTTTAAGCAATTGTGTTAATGGTTTCGCGTGTTTTGAAAAATCTTTAATGAATCTACGATAGTAACCAATGAGTCCTAAGAACTGTTTAATTTGTTTTGGAGTTTTAGGTTGAGGGTAGTTTTTAATAGCTGATATTTTATTTGGATTCGGTGAGACACCTTTTTCATTTATAACATGACCAAGATAAGCGACTTCTTTATGCATAAATTCGCATTTATCGGGTTGTAAAAGTAATTTATTAATTCTTAATCTGTCAAAAACATTTTTTAAACGTAAAGAGTGTTCTTCTAGCGTACTACCAAAAATAACGATGTCATCCAAGTATACAAAGCATTGAAGGCCTTGTAAACCCACTAGGGCAGCATTCATTGCTCTTTGGAATGTACTTGGTGCATTTTTTAAACCAAATGGCATTCGCAGATATTCGTAATGACCTAATGGACTAGAAAAAGCAGTTTTAGCAATATCTTCCTTTTTCATGAGAATTTGATGAAATCCGGACGCGAGGTCAAGGGTTGTAAAATATTTTGAATGTCCTAATTGATCTAAAATATCTTCGATATTTGGTAAGGGAAATTTATCTCCAACCGTAATTTCATTTAATTTGCGAAAGTCAATTACAATTCTAAATTTACGTTCACCTGATGCGTCTAATTTTTTAGGTACAATCCATAAGGGACTATTATAAGGAGAGACTGATGGTCTGATAATTTTTTGTTTAAGCATTTTTTCGATTTGTTTTTCGACCTCTCTTTTGTGAACTTCTGGAAATCTATAAATTTTTGTTGCAACTGGGGTAGGGTCGGTTGTTTTAATTTCGTGTTCGAGAATACTCGTGTGAGTTAATGTGTCATTAGGAAGATAAAAAATGTCGTTATATTGCTCGCATAATTTTAAAATAGAATATTTTTCTTCGGGATTTAAATGGTCTAGTCTTAGATTTTCTTTAAGTAATTTGATGCGATTATTTGTTACTGATTGATTTTTAACATTAATAAAGATTGTAGATTGTTTTTCTTCAAAAGGTTCTAGAAAAACTTGTAATTTATTTATTTTTAATTTTCGATTTTGGGTATTTAATATAGTAGTAATGGCAGTGCCATTTTCCACTTTGAGAATAGCTTTTGCTAAAAATACACCTTCGGCAATATTTATTTCTGGACAGATACCCTGTGATAAATTTTTATTTAAGATTTCAATTTTGATAATTGTTTCTGATCTAGGTTCTAATACAACTGAATATAAATTTTCATTATTATGATTATTAGGAATTTGAGATATAATTTTTAAAGGTATTTTTAGTGAATTTAATTGTAACTCACTATTGTTTAAATTTATTATTGCGCCTTGTAATGATAAGAAATCGTTTCCTATGATACCGTCGTAGGGTATATTATTATTTTGATCAACTAATTGAAATTTAATTGGTATAGGTTGATCGTTTAGACTAAGGTGAAGAATTATGCTTCCTGCTGTTTCTACAGGAGAATTAGCACTAAGCCCATTTAATAAAATTTTTTCATTAATATTAAGATTTGATAATAAAGTAGAAAAATGCGCTTGATTTTTTAAAAGTGATACAGATGCTCCCGTATCTATTAAAAATTTTAATTTAATGTTATCACAATATGTTTCGATACACGGACTTACATTATTATTTAAAAGAATATTAAATGTTTTAAGATTTTTAATTATTTTGTTACAATTATTAGGAACCGGATAACAACCAAAATTATTAGGTCTACGGCAAGATTTATTTAGAACCGGATAGCAACCTGAGTTTTCAGATCTACGGCAAGAATTATTTGGAACCGGATAACAACCAAAATTATTAGGTCTACGGCAAGATTTATTTAGAACCGGATAGCAACCTGAGTTTTCAGATCTACGGCAAGAATTATTTGGAACCGGATAACAACCAAAATTATTAGGTCTACGGCAAGATTTATTTAGAAAGGGCTTATTTAAGATTTAACTTCTCGAATATTTATTATTCATTTAATTATTATGTAAAACTTATTTACAATAAACGATCTTACGAGTCAAAGTGTTAGTTCTTCGTATCCCAACATAAAATTTAGAAAAATGCGCTTGATTTTTTAAAAGTGATACAGATGCTCCCGTATCTATTAAAAATTTTAATTTAATGTTATCACAATATGTTTCGATACACGGACTTACATTATTATTTAAAAGAATATTAAATGTTTTAAGATTTTTAATTATTTTGTTACAATTATTAGGAACCGGATAACAACCAAAATTATTAGGTCTACGGCAAGATTTATTTAGAACCGGATAGCAACCTGAGTTTTCAGATCTACGGCAAGAATTATTTGGAACCGGATAACAACCAAAATTATTAGGTCTACGGCAAGATTTATTTAGAACCGGATAGCAACCTGAGTTTTCAGATCTACGGCAAGAATTATTTGGAACCGGATAACAACCAAAATTATTAGGTCTACGGCAAGATTTATTTAGAAAGGGCTTATTTAAGATTTTTACGTCGGTTTTTATTATTCCCAATCCGCAGAAACGACGTTGTTCTGGGACGCATTCTCGTTTAAAGATTCGGTATTATTGGAGAAATTTGAATTATAATTTATATTTTGATTGGAACTATTTCCTTCATTTTTTCGTTGACGTTTGAAACAATCGTCTATTAAATGACCATTCTTTTTACAGTAATTACAAAATTTAGACTGATAAGATGAGTTATAGTTTCCATTTGATTTATAATTTTTATTTGAATTGTAATTTGTATTTGAATGGTTATTTGTAGTTGAATTTTCGCTAGGTTTATTTAATTGTACGTTAAATTTTTTATTTTTAAAGCAATCTTGTGTGTTATGAGTTTTTGTTTTGCAATTTTTGCAGAATTTTGATGGACGGGATCCTAAAGAACTAGATTTCGAAATTTGAAGAGCTCTTTCTTCTTCTAAAGCACTAGTTAGAGCGTCTGATAAATTATTAGAGTTTTTACTTCTTAAAAAACGCGATATTTCCGGTTGACTATGAAGGATAAAGCGTTGCAAAGCTAATTCTTTAATAATTTGAACTCGGGCTTTGCGAGTGCCTTCGTCGTTATCGGAAATACAATTAACAATGCGGGTGTATAATTTATCGACTCTGTTGTGAAAAGATAGAATAGATTCGTTAAAATTTTGTCTTATCGTATTAAGATCTTCCATTAATTGTGTGTAATGTTTTTTGTCTGCGTATAATTGTATTAAAAGTTCTTTAAGGTCCTTCCAATCATTTATTTCTTTATCGCGCAATTGTGCTTTTGCACTACCTGTTATTTTCGAAATCACGTATGCTATAAGAGGTTCATTTTGAGAATTGTGTGCAAATTTAAAGGCGTTTTCGCAATTAGAAATAAATTCGTATAACTCTGTGCGATTTCCGTCGAATGATTTAGGTATAAGTGAACAAAGAAAAGCTAATTTGTGTGGAGGAATGTCTCTTATGTTGCTGCTATCAGCATTTCGAAGCGTTTGAGGGTTATTTTCAGGCATTGTGAATAGTAAAAGTTTAGTAGACGCGAAAATACAAATAAATGTTTAAGAAAAGTAAAAAAAGATTTAAACCTGCTATATAAAATGGGGAAACAGAAATAAGGAAAAAGAAAGGAATAAACGACTTACGTTTGATATTGTCTGTCTTGTGGGTTCTTCGTTGTGGTTGAGGGTTCTTTGTGTTGCTTGATGATTCTTTGTTGATCCAAGGAGTTGAAACTCGCCAAGTTGAAGAAATATAGATGAGTTGCCCTTTTGATTCTTGATTTATTTGATTTTTGATTCTTCTTCTTGTGACCAAATCCAATACGACTGCGCCAAATTTTATGTTGGGATACGAAGAACTAACACTTTGACTCGTAAGATCGTTTATTGTAAATAAGTTTTACATAATAATTAAATGAATAATAAATATTCGAGAAGTTAAATCTTAAGTTAAGTGAGTGAAAAGTAAATAGTAAGTGTTCTTTTGGTTTCTTAAAATGAGCTTTTATACAGCGCGATAATTTTTATCAGTTAATGGAAAAATAGAAGCGCTGTCTTTGAAATTATGAAATATCTAATGATGCGTAATAATTACTTGAACTATTTGAACTTTTTATTAATTTAATTTATGGACTTATTTTTTGTAACCCTAAAGATCACGACTAAAAGATTATTTAATATACATTAGAAAAACAAACTCTTACCAAATAAATATACAGGGTCTAACACTTTCCGCAAAAATTGAGCCGGCGGAAAAACTTTTTTTTTTCCAAAACAAAAACCGGAAAAATTGGGAAATAATTCAGAAAAATTGAGTTTTGCGTTTTTTTCATTTTATTCAAAGGCAAAAGTCAATTTTCCTGAAAATTTACAAATTTTTACGGACAATATCCATATATACACTGATATCGAGAAAAAAGTGGATTTCAGGCGTTGATCATATAATATTAATAAACGATTTTTTTTAAATTAAAATAATGTTAAGATATTGATTGTTACTTTTTTAAAATGTGTGTGTATATTTTCCAAAAATTTTTTCCAAAAAATCCAATTTTTTCAAGTCCTGGTGAAAAAAAAACGAAAAAAAACAGGTTTTTTCACAATTTTTCCGTTTTTTTTTTCGACACTTTAAAACCCTAACCTGCCCCAAGACTCTTAATGTAATCATGATTACATTAAGAGTCTTGGGGCCCCATTGCAAAAGACTTGCTGAGAGGATCTCTTGAAGTTATAACCAATTTAAAATAACATAAAATTATTATTTACAAAATAATCACATCATTTCACAAGCAGACTTTGGGGGCGCATTTTATTTTACCGCCCCAGGCCCCCGACGGGCTTACTCCGCCACTGCATAAATGTATAATAAATTGTTTCAAATACAAAACTTCACTTAAAAATTAAATACAAAGTTTCCAATAAAACAGCTTATTTAAATTTATTTATTTTGGGTTCAGGTGAGGAGAACATGAACCTCCGTCTGCCCAAACCAAGCTGGTCGTCGGCCAAAAAGTCTCTCACCCGCAGAAAACACCTGGTCCTCGAAGACGACAGCCGACTGGCCAGGGTCCTAAGCACCCTCGATCTTACGCTTCTAGGGGTAGGCAGTACCCTAGGGGTGGGCGTCTACGTTCTGGCCGGCGATGTTGCCAAAAACACCGCAGGACCTGCCGTCACTATCTCGTTTTTTATTGCTGCGGTGGCATCAGTCTTAGCAGGTTAGTTTTGATGTATGCCTTTTTTATAAGCAAATAAACTTCAGTATTGTTATTTTAAAATGATTCCTTCAATAAAATAAATTTTGTTTATTTATTCATCAACATTTAATTTTAACTAGGTCTTTGCTATGCTGAATTTGGAGCCAGAGTCCCAAAAGCAGGGTCTGCTTACGTCTACAGCTACGTTTGTATAGGCGAATTTTTTGCATTTGTTATAGGTTGGAATCTTATATTGGAGTATTTAATAGGTAAAATAAAATTATTTGTCACCAAAAAAATAAAATATTTTTTTAACCAACAATCTATTTTAGGTTCAGCAACTGTAACCAAGGCCATATTTTTATACATAGACAAATTAGCAAACAATACCATGATGAATTATTTTAAAGAAACCATGCCGATGGGTGGCGATCAAATTTCCAGTTACTGTGATATTTTTTCTTTAGGTTTATCACTAATATTTTCAGGTAATTTTATTTAGCATTTTTTAAATTATTCACAAATTCGATTGTCAAGATGGTTCTTCTACTCTCTAAAATTAATTAGTCAAAAATGACTAATTCAATAGTTACTAATGGCTGCTTCTTCACTTGTACCACGGTTAACCATAGAATAACATGTTATCCCAAAATTCAATAGCCAATTCTTATGTAAAATTGTCCCCTGAATTCGAAAATATCGTCAAAAGTGAAAAAAGTAAAACTGTTTTTGAGATCCACTCCATAAATTTTGACGGTATTTCAGGGGACAATTTTACATAAGAATTGGCTGTTAAATTTTGAGATACCATTTTATTCCATGGTTAACCATGGTACAAGTGAAAAAGCAGTCACTAATAACTATTAAATTAGTCATTTTTGACTAATTAATTTTTAGAGAGTAATAAACATGCGACAAAAGTGTGTTAAATCGCAACTTCTTGGGGGTCAATTCTGGGCTCCCAAACGCAATGTGAAGTATGGCAGGTAGCGTCATCATGTTTAACCTAGAAATGGTGAAATCACGCTTCTTATTCAAAAACGTCCACTGTAGTTTTTTTCTGTTTAACATCAACAATTGACAAAAATTAAAAAAAAAAATTAACACTGGTTTTTGTTCATTTTTAGTGGCATTAGCTTTTGGCGCGAAAGAATCATCATGGATGAACAATATATTCACCATAATCAACATAGCCGTGGTACTGATTGTTATAATCTCAGGATTCTGGAAAGGTACGCCAAAAATGAGCATACTTAATTAAAAATTTTAATTTTGATTTTTTTAAGTTCAAGCCAGCAACTGGACCCTCCCAAAAGACAAAATCAGTCCTGGACACGGAAAAGGAGGTTTTGCTCCCTATGGAGTCGAGGGGATCATCAAAGGAGCGGCCAGATGCTTTTTTGGGTTCATTGGGTTTGATTGTATAGCAACTGCAGGTACAATAAGATAATAATGTAATAAAGATGCATTTTTTACATAAACTATTTTAGGGGAAGAAGCGAAAAATCCTAAGAAATCCATTCCAATTGGTGTGATTGTATCTTTGTTGGTGGTATTTTTGGCCTACTTCGGAATGTCGACAGTGCTCACTATGATGTTGCCTTATGATAAACAGGTATAACAAAGAAGGTGATAAAATTACATTTATTTGAATTTTTTCAAAAATAATTACTTAATTATAATTTATTTAATTTATTTTTAAGGACGAAAATGCGCCGTTGCCGCATTTGTATGATATTTTGGGATGGACTGTTATAAAATACATCGTCAGTATAGGAGCTATGTGTGGACTTTTTGCTAGGTGTGTTTTTTGTTCACATTGCTAAACTTTTATAAAAACATATTTTTTTAGTTTACTTGGTGCCATGTTCCCACTTCCCAGAATCATCTATGCTATGGCCGCCGATGGACTTCTTTTTCAATTTTTGGCCAATATACATCCAAAATTCCGTACCCCGTTTATGGGAACGCTGGTTTCTGGGGTCTTTACTGGTAAGATATTTAAAAAGACATAGTAATTACCACAATTAATTTAGTATAGTTGACTAACAAATGCAATCATGTGTTAAATCAGAGTAAATTGAAATTTTAATGGTGGGTAGTGGGTAAGTTAAAATAAAAAACCATACAACATTGTTGGTCTTGATATAAACTACAACTTAGACCTATTGGTAAACTCGTTTTCCCCTTCTGAAAGTCACTACATAACTATAATTTAAAAAAGCACGTACAATTTTAAAATGTTAGTAATAACAAATTTTAACGTAGGACTTAACCAAGATATCAATTGCACTCCTTTAAATTCAAAATAACGACCCATAGCGATGAAGCGTCATTACCAAAAATCCTTTGCGCCCGGTTCCATAAAATGATTATTAAAATATTATACAACAAATGAAAAAACATACTTTTATCATTACTACTTACATATAATATTTATTGACCCTGTCCTTGGATCTCTTTGATATTCTTACATGTCGGGTCGAAGTGAAGAAATTAGAGAAGGAAGGGTAGAAAAAGGAAAGAACAGATAATAAAGATACAAATAGATAAGTGCCGGTGCGCAACAACGTGCTCCACGATAGAAACGGGTTGGCACGGATTACCGATGTGCCTTCAAGATCTATCTACCATTTCAATTTAACAACAATTCAAAGATTGCACAACTGAACTAAAGTTGGTCTAAGTGAAAGGTTTAGAAAGGGGGATTCCAAATGAATTTCCTGGGCGACTGCTTCAAAACTTCCTTTACAATATAAAACAGACTTAATATTATATAACAATATTTTTTTTAAAAACATAATTTTAATTAATACACTCACATAAAAGATTAATTGAATTGAAGTTCAAGAATTCCTTGGATCTCTTTGAAGTCCTCCCCGGGTAATGAAGTATACAAAAAGTGCTGGTGCGCAACAACGTGCTCCACGTTGAAAACGGGTTTGCACGAATTACTGTTGTGCCCCGAGGCAAAAATAAAAAATAATCTGTTTATTACAGCTTATTTTTTTTAGGCATCATAAGTAACATTTGGGTTCTGCATGCTTTAACATTATTGACAATACTGACCGTCAGTAACTAATGCGCAAACTTGAGTTACTACAATATAAAAGTCCAGGTTTAGTGAGCTATGGCATGTGCAACCATGTATGACACTTCTAGTCCTGGACCAGTAATTCGTAAACACACTGTCCCTCAACATCGAAAAACGGTCATAAAAGTGACTCCCAAATTTGACTTTGGGATTTTGTTAAGAACCGTTTCCTCAATATATTGTGAAAAAAACTAAATCTCAGCTGATCGTTTTCTCAAGAAAAATTGATCTTCAATTTTTTTTACTTGAGATAAGATGTTTTATCCATTTTGTAAATGATGTATACATATATATGTATATTATAATATACATATATATTGTATATCCTAATATACATAATATATATATACATTGTATATCCTTTTTTATAAAAGAGCAAGATTATTTGTATCAGTAAGTCATTTCAAAAACATAATTTATATAGATAAAAATGTATTTTTGAACAACTTAAATCTAAACAATAATTTTACTTAATGACAAAAATTTAAACTACCTACCAAGTTAAGTGAACAAAAATGTAACAAATATGTATAATAAAGTATTTAAAAAAAGTAAAAAAATACCAGTTTTACAAATGTCTTGAAGAAAATTCTACTACACATTTTAAGAGGTTTCTACCATATCGGGGATCATCAAGATCGTTTAATTTATATTTAGACCAATATATTAAAAACTCTCTATGTACAGACTCAATTGCTTGCTCCGACCATACTCCAAGTCCATCTCCTTCCAAACTGTCTAAGCCTTTTATAAGATGATTAAATAAAATATGAATTTTGAGAGTTTCAGAAAGCTCAGTGGCTTTAAAAACTTTTTCGAGGTGCATTAATAGGTTTTTAAGCCCATGTTGATCAGTGATTGTAGATGAAAAACAATGTGCAACCACCTTATTCATTGCTTTCAGGGATTCTACAAAAGGTGTAATTTTGACTGCTGGAACCAAATTTAAAATTTCTTTATCATACAGTTTATCTGCAGCATTTAGCAAACTTTTACAAGCATTTCCTTCGAATAGCTCGCCATGATAATTCTTTGAAACAATATTCAATTTTTTTGGCCAAATAAAAGCCACATCTTTTCCCAATAGTGGGACCAACCCCTTAAAAAACAAATGGTTCACAAATCCTTGCAAAATGTGTAGTTCTGGTATCACACATTTTTCCAACACCGAAAAGTCGCCTTCTTCATCAAATATTGAATGATTTACTACACTAAAGCAGTCTTTCGCGTATTTCCTATTTTTTTCGAATAGACAAAACTTCTCATAATGCAATTTTATGTCTCCGTAAGTTCTTAAAGTACTAGCTTCATTTCCAACTGAATGTTTTAGTTTCACGTAGCAGTAGGGACACGGAAATGTAGAGGATGCGGTTTGCAATCCATTAACAATTAATGTAACTTTGAGGTCCGAAACAAATTTGAACGAAATATTGTTAATTTTTATAACGGAAAACAGTAATTTTAAATTTTCAAATGTTTCTTGGATTTCAGGTACAATACAAAGAATCAGAATTTTTTTGACGCCCGTAAACTTAAACCCTTTTGAAATTTTACCACCTTCACTATAAACAGATCTTCCTACTTTAGTTTCATCTTCACTTTGAAACACAGAAAGACATATTTTAAAAAAGCCTTGTCAACCGTCAGCCATGACCTTAATTTTTGGACTTCCTATCAACTGTCTGTGCGTAATCACAGCCTCTAGAATACTTTCTGCATCAGCATATATCACTTTCCTTTTCTGCTTTTCTTTACAGTCACTTACGTCAAACTCTAACTCAGCACATTTATAAAATGGTTCTAAAGTTTTGGACTCTTCGCGTAATTTCTCTCTAAAATTGGAAGAAACGGACTTTTTGCCGGCGCAGGTCCTAACAAAATTTGTAACTAACTCCATTTTATTATTCGATAAGCATGTTGTCTTTTGAAATTGACTAAGCTTTTCGTAACTAAACTTTATTTCCTTCTGGGCATGGGGTGGTGGGTTTATAGCAATTCTAGAAGGTCTGCCCAGTGTTGCTAGTCCAATACTTGATTGGTTATTAGTTTCAACATATTCATGTATTATTTTGCTTACAATCTGTTGTTTCTGGTTTTTCGGCACTGCTTGTACAAGGTCCGAAACGTTATGTGCAATATTAGATAAATGACAATAATGTTTTTTTCCCTTTCCAATTTCTTGCAAGCATGTTGCGCATATACATTTTTTTTTCTTTAGTACAACATCTTTACTAAGAACTCTACTGTTTCCCCTTCCGGAAAAAACTTTTTTGTGACCTTTTTTACGTGCTTCGCTGCAAATCAAGCATGTGCAGGGTTTTCCGCTTCGCAAAGTTTTTCTTAAATCCAGTTTGTGGAATTCCGGCATTGGTAGTAAGGGTCTACGAAATACACCATCTTTTTGTCTCTCCTAAAATATAACCCAAAATATGTAAAACTTTTTTCTTATTAAAACGTTTAAAAATCGTGTATAAAAAGAAAGTAATTTTGAAGAAAAATTGCAAACTTCCAAGTTAAGTGTACAAAGTAGCTATTTGCGCACGCTCGCAGAAAAGCTATACCTAGTTTTCTTACCAATAAAGCCAACTTGCATGTCACACATATCGATGTTGGATACCTTTCGTCATTCAGATCGAAATCACTACAGATATATTGTTTGATTAATGCACAACAACTCTTAGAAATTTTAAATTTAAAAGGCTTAGATTTTCCATTTTTTATTACCACGCAACGGTTTTTGTTTCACCATAGCCTACCTGATTTTTCTTCCATATGGTTATAACCATGTCCTTTAAAATTACGATGTTTTTATGGAAAAAACTAAAATATTTATCTGTTAATCAACAAAAATATAATTTTTGAGGCAAAAAAAACAAAAAATCCATTTTTCTCGTGAAAACGATCAGCTGAGATTTACTTTTTTATCTTTTTATAAAGAGGAAACAATTCTTAACAAAATCCTATAGTCAGATTTGGGAGTCACTTTTATGACCGTTTATCGATGTTGAGGGACAGTGTGTAAAGTAAAAGATTAAATTAGGTGTCTAAATACAAAACCCAAAACATTTTGACATTTACGGCTGTATGTACAAAACTTGTTGCTCAACGACAACATTTTTAGACATTTGGCAACGCTGCATGTCTGATATTTTTAAAATTTTAAAACTTTAGAACTCGATATTCTATATGTATGTTTGGTCTCAAAAATGGCTGAAAAGACTACCAATATAGATAACCATGGCTAGGACAGGATATTTACCTTCTCCAAAGTCATAAAGTGTAATCCATTTCCCTCTACAACTTTTTGTTGACTGGACTATTTGTGGACTTTGGGAAAAAAGGTGAAATACCCTTTATATAAACCCTTAAAATAAAATTTACTATTTGTATCGGATTTAACAAAAAATAAAATATATACCATCCCAAGCAGCATTTTTGGTTCCAAACACCATTACCAAAGTGGTGATAACTTTAAATTTGTTAAGTATACTAAACAGCTACTTTTATTTTTACTTAAAAGTAATTCTAACTTTTAAATAGCAATATTTTGTAACAGAAACTTCGTTCTTTCCTTAAATGGTTACTATAAAGTAATAAACATTTAAGTAAAACTTGGTTGCCCCCAAGAAGTCTTTGCAACTTTAAAAAAGGTTATAAGTAAAAAAACTTTCAAGTAAATTTAATTTGTAGCAGACTGCTACTAGCAGTTACTTTCGGTTGCTACCTAAAGATTACATTATAATTATTTTTACTTTGTAGTAGGTACCCTTGCAAGTTAAAATCTCAAAACTGGAACATGACTTAAAAACTACAAAGTTAATAACTTAAAAGTATTATTTTAGTATTTGAAACGTTTATGGTACTAACCAAAACTACCGTAAAGTAAATTAAGGTGGAAAAAAAACTTTAAAGTAGCGAAAACTACTTCAAAGGAAAATGCTTCTTATCGGCTATTTTTTACTGTACAGTACCACGTGGTAATGTAAATAATAAATTATTTTAATTGTTTGTAAATGGTTATTTACTTTTTATTAAATAGTAATTTTGTTGGTAATAGACGATATTAATAATTAAATAAAAAATTAATAATAAATATTAAGATTTTTTTATTTATAAACATTGTTAAATAAATAATTTGTTTATACTTAAATATTGAGGAAGCGCATTTATGTTACAAAAACTAAATTAATATGTTCAACAGTAAAATTTAAAGGGTTTATAAATTTACCTGTTTAATTAAACATTATATTGTTATTCTGGGAGTTATAAACTACCAGTACATATTTAATAAACGACGACATTGAAAAGCCAAGTCCGTAGTGGTTCCATTTAAAAAAGGAGGGATAGTATAATCTAATATAAGTTTGACAAAGACAGTTAATATAGAAATAAAAACAAATAAATAAAAGTAATTATAACGCTCCAGTAGTTCTAGTAACGTAGCAGCTACGTTCCAAATAGTAGCAGGGTTTATAGCTAGTGATATATTTGCTACCTTTTTGGAACTCAATAATTGTTCCCCACTTTAGTCGTAACTTAGTAATATAAAGAGACCGGCGACTGACCCAAAACACTTTAAAGTTTCTTCAATAGTCCCATATACGTAACAAATACTTAAATTGTTGCTTGGGATAAAAGGGTATGGAGGGCATTATCTTTGTAAATGGTTGTAAAAACCTACAAATTTTAATATTTTATTACCATTATTAAATTTTTTTCTGTTAATTCAGGTGTGCTGGCATGCCTTATGGACCTTGATAAATTAGTAGAAATGATGTCAATTGGAACACTTTTGGCCTATTCTATGGTAGCTGCTTGTGTCCTGGTTTTAAGGTAAAAAATAAAAATATACTTTTTTTTTCACAAATTTTAATTTTTCAAACTTTTAGATTCGAAACGGACGAAAAAAATGAAAAAGTACAAAAGAACTGCCGAAATTACGTTAAACAAATGTTTTCCACCAACACCAAAATAGCAAACTCTCTGACTTCTAGCTTGGTGTCATTTTTGGTTTTTGTATACTGTAAGTATAGAAACATTCCTGATATAGGAATCCTGATCATATTTATGTATATTTACTGCGCGTAGAAAATATTTAAAAGGGCGTCGTACTGTCAAAGGCTCTCATTTTTTCAATGAGAAGTGACACATGTAACACATCATTAAAAAGGTATTTACAATGTGCTACAGATTATATAGAATAGAATTATATATATAAGGGTTTAAAAAAATTATCTACATAAAATTTACATTTAGAACGTGTTATTTTTGTAATAGCTAAATTTGTAAATTTATAAATTTCCAAATTTCGCTATTACAAAAATATACAAATTTAGCATGTCTTAAAGAATACTTTTTGGCAAGAAAATTTGAAAATGACGCCGTTAGGTGAAAGTGTAATTTTTTTGTTTCACCCTTTAGAATCGAAAAAATAAGTAGGTAGTTAGGTACATATAAATAACTTCAAAAGACCTTTCAAATGATATGTGACATGACCACTTGTTTTGTAGCAGTGCGTCGCCATTTGTTTTTTTTAATCCATACATTTTAAAAATGTTACTCCTTCTTTATTTAGTCTTTTTGGGCTGGTTTAACACAATAAAATTTAAAATTTCCAAAATGACAGAAATGTTTCTGGATAGTTCTCCAATTAGGTACTATTTTAATTTTTAGTTGTATTTTCATTCGTTGTTTCCTGGCTTTTGACAATTTATGACAAAGAATTATACCGAGGTGAAACGTGGCTGATATTAACTGCAGCAGCTCTACTCCTGGTTTTATTTATAATTTTGCTTTGCATATCATTTCAACCCACTTCTCAAGTCAAATTATCATTCACTGTAAGTATTTTTAATTAAGGAAAATGCAATATTTTATTATTACTTTTATTTTTTAGGTTCCCGGTGTGCCCTGGGTTCCAGGAATTAGTATTTTGGTTAATATTTATTTAATGACAAATATTAAAATTGATACATGGGTTAAATTTTCCATTTGGTTGCTTATAGGTAAGTTGAAATGAAAGTAATCTGGGTTGCCTACCTTATGTCAAACCAAATAAATGGGACACTCTCAAGAGATAATGGAAATTAATACTTTTGTATTTGTATTGTTATTTAATTACATTTAATTATTAGTGGTTATTGCTGTTAAATCCAATCTTACCTTTATTCCAGGTTTGGTTATTTATTTCTCTTACGGAATATGGCACAGTACAGAGAGAAAATCCAAGAGAACTGAAGAGGGACAAAAAAGTGATTTTTATTAGAACTAACAATCTGATTTTATATTTTAATTCATAAATGCTTTATTTATTATGTAAATATTTTCATTTATACCAAATAAACCGCATTTTTATGGTTTTTGTAATTATTAGAATTATTTTCACAAAATCAAAAATATTAATATTAAAAGTAAGGTAGGTACTATCGCTAACAAAAAAAACTCATACAGCTTAAAAATCTAGTGTTCCTGATTTTCTATCATTTCGTTGGAGTAATTATGGCTTTTAACATGATACGTCACATTTGAAAGGTCTAAAATTAAATGCAAAGTTAGGTTGAAGTTTGAAAAAAACATAATATTTCGTCATCCCTCTGTTTTTGTCAATTACTGCCCGCAAACGGCAAAGCATGGTCTTGCTTTATCTCGTTCCAAATGGCTTCAATGGCTTGCCAGAGTTCGTCTGCATTGTTTGGTTAAAAATGTTAAAAAAGTCATAATGGATGTGACAAAGCTCGATGTCAGCTTGACATTGACGGAAAAGTTTTATTCACACAGCCACAATATAGCTGTATGAGTTTTTTTTGTTAGCGATAGTATTACTTTTATGGTAGTTTTTCAATTTACAGTAGGCTGTGACAGCAAATTGAGCGGTGCCAATGTAGTAAAAATAAAATGTTTTTTTATTACAATTTAAAGTATTATTAAAAACTAAAAACAACATAAAAAGTCAATAGGTACCAATATACATTGTTAATTTGTTGCGATAATGGCAAAATTAAGTTTTTAAACGGTAAGATTTTTGTGTTTCGTAAGTTGGCAGCAGTGTTACCAGATTCTGTCAAAAAAAGACCGTACCACGGTCTTATATACAGGTCTTGCAACTTTAAGCTTCGAGGTGGCTTCCTTAACGTGCCAAGCCGCTAGGTGGCGCTAAGATCGAAGGGGTAAAGTCAATTAAACTACTACTTAGTTAAATGTGGAACTACTGCATAACCATAACCTAACTTTTTAAATTCTTTTTCTATGTTTTGTTTACATTTTCAAAAATTTAATATTTGTGAGTTTGTTTCGGATAATTTACGTTAACAAAATAGGACAACAAAGTCTATACTCTATGCACAAAGTCCTCGCCGAGGACTCCTCGGCCGTCACATGCCCAGACCAAACATGTTAATGTATAAAATACATACGTATATCATATATAGGTATGTTACGGCTAATGTGTAAACATGGATAGTTTATTAAGTAGCTGGGTAGTTTATAAACTAGCCAAACTGTCAGCTATTTTAATTGAAAAAGTATTTTTAACTAAATTAGCGGCTAGTTTGTAAACCAACCAAGGGTCTTGGCTAATTTACTTGAAATTATTTAGGAATAGCTGGATAATTTGTAAACTATCCAATTCAATTTGGCTAATATGAAAACCAAAATTTCTAGTAGGTAACACAACAAACTAACCAACCAATATTCTGGCAAATTTATTAATAACCGATTTTTTTATTGTCTTGACGGGGATGGGTTGATTGTTTATTTAAAATAATATATATTTCACCAACACGATGTGCTTAATTATATAATAATCATACAAAATGTGAAGGTGTCAATAATATGTTTTTTATTGCACATTGCCATGTTTTTAACCGCTCCTTATTTGTTAGCACTTTAAACATGGACCGCTTAATTTTAATGCCGGAACCATGGAGCCTATACAAGGAGCCCGAACTTCATGTAAACAAGAATCTTCCTAAGATAAGAGGGCGCTAGTGTACTACCGGTCCAAAACAGTAAAGTGGTATAACCAGAGATGGCGCCACTACCTACCACTTATTATTGTGGAAATAATTGAGGTTATGCAACTGTCAGTTTATCGCTTTTTGAAAACAATGTACACATGTACCTGGTTTTGTGTATAAAGGTCTTAATTTATCAAATTTAACATTGGAATTCATGTTGGACTTTCTGATGTAGAGTATAGTGCAGTTTTTTTATAAATACGTGTTTTTTTCTATAAAATAATGTCGTGTGATGCTAAATCGTGTAAAACCATAAACTAACAGAATATTAAATCTATAGATATGGTATTTATTTTTAGTTTTATAGGTAGATGGCTTAAATAAAAGTTCAATATAAACAAATAAAGGTGGAAATTATTAAATATGCTGTTTACTCATTTTATACATACATTTTTATTTAAATTAAATTTAAATTATTAAATAGCGGTGTATTTCTAACCTGGAAATCTAATTTTGCCTCTCCAGAGTCGTAAAATCACTTCACAGATTATAAAGAATCACTTATATTTCACAACCAAAACCTATTTATTTTGCTTCTCCAGAGTCGTAAAATCACTTCACAGATTATAAAGAATCACTTATATTTCACAACCAAAACCTATTTATTAGAATCTACCTACCAGGTACAGCCATAAATAACAAAACGATTCGTACGTCAAAACATTATTGCAAATCAATTGTCAAAATTACTTGCTTACCAGAGACTTACTCTATGTTGCTTACCTTATGTTCTGTGTTGCTTACTTCACATGTATTTTTGATACTATTTTCACGTCATACGGACGCATTGACAAACAGCGCCGCTGGTGGTGAAAAAAAAAGACTTAAATTGTGCAATTTAGTGGACAGGTTTTGTCAATTTTCCCTATTAAGTTCGGGCTCCTTGTGTAGGCTCCATGGCCGGAACGATAGCTTTGCTGGTTACATTTTGGCACAACACAGGACTTACTATCGCTAACAAAAAAACTCATACAGCTATATTGTGGCTGTGTGAATATAACTTTTCCGTCAATGTCAAGCTGACATCGAGCTTTGTCACATCCATTATGACTTTTTTAACATTTTCAACCAAACAATGCAGACGAACTCTGGCAAGCCATTGAAGCCATTTGGAACTATAGTTCTATATCTATAGATAAAGCAAGACGGCGACTTCCATGCTTTGCCGTTTGCGGGCAGTAATTGACAAAAACAGAGGGATGACAAAAAATTATTTTTTTTTCAAACTTCAACCTAACTTGGTATTTAATTTTAGACCTTTCAAATGTGACGTATCATGTTAAAAGCCATAATTACTCCAACAAAATGATAGAAAATCAGGAACACTAGATTTTTAAGCTGTGTGAGTTTTTTTTGTTAGCGATAGTAAGTCTATTAAAAAGCACAAATACAAATGTATAACAAGAACAAATATAACAAGAACAAATATAACAAGAAAAAATAGAACAATATAATATAACAATAACGAATATCACAATAACAATAACTAAAAACTCCCTGTAACAAAATACACAAGCTTGTTTATAAAAATGTAGGTTATGTTCACAGAACATAAGTAGGTAGGTAGTTCATTTGACCTTTATCCCATAGACTTTAAGGACTTAGAGCCGGTTTTACAATCGTTAGATTAAGTTAGCTTATTTGGCGGATAAATTTCATAGAAACCTTCTATCTAAGAAAATTATCCACCAGAGAGCTTATCTAACGATTGTAAAACCCAAAGATAAAGAAGGTAAAAACGACCTTTAAACATCTATGGTTCACCCTCAACTCGATTCGCCATCTGGTGGGTGTCTCATTAGAGAGGTCACTTTTCCTATTGAAATTGGGCGAAGTTGCAAGACCTGTATATAAGACCGTGGACCGTACGTTTCGTTCGAATTTACCTTAATTACAAAAATGACTCAATGGACAATATTAAATAACGTCAACTTGACTTAATTGCATTTATTTGCATTGTTTCATTGTGTCATTTTGTAATTAAGGTAAATTCGAACGAAACGTACGGTCCTTTTTTGACAGAATCTGGTAACACTGGTTGGCAGCACGAAATTTGAAATGACGATTTTAAAAGAAGCTAAGAAAAAAATGTTTTTGAGATAAAAGTGCCTAGTTATCTATAAAAAATACCACTTGTTTATTTCCCTTAGATGTCCCATTGATTATTTTAAAAATGCGTTTTCAAATTCGAGAAACAAAATAGGATCATGTTGAAAGCTTACATTTACCACTACTTTGCATAATATGTAACAAAAATCACAGAACATAACAAAAACTAGGAAAAACTGTTTTGAGTCGACAAGAAAATTTTACAAGCTCAAAAATCAACAAAATGGCAGCCCAAAACAAATGACATTTATAAACAGATTTAAAATTATTTATTCTAAAACCATTGAGTAAAGAAGACACTTTACTCAATGCTAAAACAATTCCAATGAATGTACTTTTAAAGCGCGAAAACAATGATTTGAAATAATATGAAATAGTTCCTTACCTGGCCTATAGAGATCCGATTTTAACTCCAACATTCCCACGTTAGTTCGCATTCTTACCGCAAATAACACCTTTACGTTTTGATGTGGTGTTGCCAAGTCGTCAAATTGTCACAGTTTCATACTTCGCTTTTTATTTGTTTTGAAATTTATTACTGAGGATTTTACATACAATTTAAGAAGCCATGGATCATTTTCTTTTCATACGATTTCTTAAATTGTTGATAAAACTTTAAAACAAATGTAAATCTAGTTAGGGTTGCCAGTTGACGTTTTTAACCTATAGCAATATAAGAATCTGCGATTGGCAAAATAAAATACAGGGTAAAAAGTTTTTAAAAGTAATTTCATTAAATATTAAAAATATATAAATGTAAAAATAAACAGGATTTCGTCATAAAACAAAGCTGTTTTAATTGTCTCCTTTAAAAAAACTAAAACCTGTATTTTTAATGGTGGTAACCAAGAAAAGGCAGGTGGCAACCCTAAATATAGTCTTGGTATCATAATATATATTATAGAATATTATCAAAAATAAATCCTATTGAGAATTCTTAAACGAAATGTATTAAATTTAACCATACGGATATAAAAAATTACCGGAGAGGTAAATAATTTAAATGTAAACAAATGTTTGGCCATTGAAATTGTGAAGAAGCGTATAAGGGATGCGCAGAGCCGGCAACGTCGCAACCACCGTCCAATCGCATCCAGGTAGTGGTCGCAGAGGGGGGAAAACTCGTTTGAAATTTTTAGTTAGTAAAATGCCAACCTAGCGAAACGTATGTGTAACCGTAATCGTGTTGTTATTTTTAAAAATGTGCATCGGTG